CTCAGCAAGCGTGTATCTGTTCAGCATGTCCACACACCGCTCTCCCTCCAAGCAAGGCAGTGCCAGCATATCATGGGTCACCGGGCCCAGCACAGCTCCCTGATGAGGGGGACATGGGAAGTGCAAACCATTTTGGGATAAGTGCTGAACTGTACCTATCTCTGTATTTAATCAGGTCTGTGTTTAATCTAGCCTCTGTTTGCCAGAAGCTGGGAATGGGTGACAGGGGATGGATCACTCGATAATTGACCTGTTCTGTTCATTCCCTCTGGGGCACCTGACATTGGCCACTGTCGGAAGACAGGATCCTGGGCTAAATGGACCTTTGATCTGACCCAGTGTGGTTGTTCTTATATTCTGTGTAAATCTGCACTAGAAAGCATTTGTCAGCATAGCTAGACCAGCATACCCTGCTAGTATTGACACAACTTATATAAACAAAAGTTTCTGCTGCTGCTCGAACTTATACCACTGCCCCAAACAAAATAGATGATACCAGCCATTGGACTTCTTTGCCTGTATAACTGTGTCTACACTAGGGCATATGCACAGCCATAGTGGCTGGGGCAAGGGGCAGGGGGTCATACTCCTAACTAACATAGCTATGCCAGTAACGTTTTTAAGTGTAGACAAGACCTAATGCTGCAGTGAGACCTGTCCCAGAATATCCATAACCTGGTGGTTACAGCATTGTCCAGCAATGTGGGAGAGCCAAGTTAAAATTACTTCTCCACACAAGGAAGAGCTTAAAGGTTATGGGGGGGGGAGGGGCGGTACCTCCGCTGGCCATTTTGTTAATCTAACCCTTCATGTCCTTTTATTTTATTTTTAAAATGCCAAGAAAGAAAATGAAACATTTTGTTTCAGACCAAACAAAACATTTCTTTCCACTTGAAACAAAAATGTTTTGTCGACTTTTTCAATTTGCCAAAATTGTTCGGAATTTATGGCATTAGGTTGAGCAAAACCAATTTTTTTTTTTTTTCAGTTCTCTGGAACAGCCAGCAAACCAAAAAATCAGTCATCTGACCAGCTGTAGTGTGGACATGAGCAATGTATCAGGTGCAGCAACAGCAGAATTCTCTAGTGCAGACACAGCTTCAGTGTTTGCAGTTTTTCTATTCATTGCTTTGGACATGCAGATAATTAAGTTACAGGGCTGTGTGTGTTAACGATAATCTAATACAGAAGTTCTGACAAGGTGTCAAATGTTGCTGGCACCCTCAAGGAATCCCTGGAGTTTTATTGCATTGCCATATTCCTGATGCTACCATGTGGGCTGGCTAGCATTCTTGCTGCATATGTGCTGCCTCTCACTCTGCATGAGTCTGTCACACTGAGAAAAAGCCACCTGTCCAAAATTCCCGTTGACTTCCAGGGTACAGCCTGGAAGACAGAGCAGTTGAGGAAAGACAGAACTCTCCTTCCTGCAATGCCTCCAAGTTTAAAAAAAACAGCCATATTTTGCTGTTTGTCTTATAGGGCAAACATGTTGTTTTGTGATGTTGTGAGTTCGTGATGTAATGTCTTGGCACTGCGTCATCATACAAGCAGTGAAGTCAGAAGAAAATGCCATCGCATCATGATGCAGTGTTATTACCTGATGATGCAACATCCCAGAGCCTAACTTTAGTGAAACACAATGCCAGCTTAGATCCAGGGCAACAGGAAATCCCATGTAAACAAAATAATGAACAGCATTTGCTGAATAATAGTTATTCTCTGTTTTTCCCATCAAAGAGATCTTGGAGTCATTGTGGATAGTTCTCTGAAACATCTGCTCAATGAGCAGAGGCAGCCAAAAAAGCTAACAGTGTAAGGAGAGAGGTAGATAATACAGAAAAGATCATAACACTACTATATAAATCCATGGTACACCAACACCTTGAATACTGCATGCAGTTCTGGTTGCCTCATCTCACAAAAGAGATATTAGAATAGGAAAAGGTACAGAGAAGGGCAACTAAAATTAGACGTATGGGGCAGCTTCCATATGTGGAGAGATTTTTAAAAAGACTGTGACTGTTTAGCTGAGAAAAGAGATGACGGGGGATATGACAGAGGTATGTAAAATCATAGAATATCAGGGTTGGAAGGGTCCTCAGGAGGTCATCTAGTCCAACCCCCTGCTCAGAGCAGGACCGATCCCCAATTAAATCATCCCAGCCAGGGCTTTGTCAAGCCTGACCTTAAAAACTTCTAAGGAAGGAGATTCCACCACCTCCCTAGGTAACACATTCCAGAGTTTCACCACTCTCCTAGTGAAAAAGTTATTCCTAATATTCAACCTAAATCTCCCCCACTGCAACTTGAGACCATTACTCCTCGTTCTGTCATCTGCTACCACTGAGAACAGTCTAGATCCATCCTCTTTGGAACCCCCTTTCAGGTAGCTGAAAGCAGCTATCAAATCCCCCCTCATTCTTCTCTTCCGTAGACTAAACATCCCTAGTTCCCTCAGCCTCTCCTCATAAGTCATGTGTTCCAGTCCCCTAATCATTTTTGTTGCCCTCCGCTGGATTCTTTCCAATTTTTCCACATCCTTCTTGTAGTGTGGAGCCCAAAACTGGACACAGTACTCCAGATGAGGCCTCACCAATGTTGAATAGAGGGGAACGATCACGTCCCTCGATCTGCTGGCAATGCCCCTACGTATACATCCCAAAATGCCATTGGCCTTCTTGGCAACAAGGGCACACTGTTGACTCATATCCGGCTTCTCGTCCACTGTCACCCCTAGGTCCTTTTCTGCAGAACTGCTGCCGAGCCATTCAGTCCCTAGTCTGTAGCAGTGCAGTTGGATTCTTCCATCCTAAGTGCAGGACTCTGCACTTGTCCTTGTTGAACCTCATCCGATTTCTTTTGGCCCAGTCCTCCAATTTGTCTAGGTCCCTCTGTATCCTATCCCTACTCTCCAGCGTATCTACCTCTCCTCCCAGTTTAGTGTCCTCTACAAACTTGCTGAGGGTGCAATCCACACCATCCTCCAGATCATTTATGAAGATATTGAACAAAACCGGCCCCAGGACCGACCCTTGGGGCACTCCACTTGATATTGGCTGCTAACTAGACATGGAGCCATTGATCACTACTCGTTGAGCCCGACAATCTAGCCAGCTTTCTATCCACCTTATAGTCCATTCATCCAGCGCATACTTCTTTAACTTGCTGGCAAGAATACTGTGGGAGACGGTGTCAAAAGCTTTGCTAAAGTCAAGGAACAACATGTCAACTGCTTTCCCCTCATCCACAGAGCCAGTTATCTCATCACAGAAGGCAATTAGATTAGTCAGGCATGACTTGCCCTTGGTGAATCCATGCTGACTGTTCCTGATCACTTTCCTGTCCTGTAAGTGCTTCAGAATTGATTTCTAGGTCCATCAATGGCTATTTGTCAAGATGGTCTGGGACTTCAACTCCATGCACCGAGTGACCCTAAACCTCTAACTGATAAGCTGGAACTGGATGACAGAGGATGGATGACTCAAAATTGCCCTGTTCTGTTCATTCCCTCTGAAGCATCTGGCACTGGTCACTGTCAGACGACAGGATACTGGGCTAGATAGACTGCTAGTCTGACACAGTATGGCCGTTCTTATATTCTTAGAAGGTGTCATGTGGATAATACGACACAGGCCTCATGGGAGTGTGTGTTTATCGGTACAGCAATTTGGCTGAGGTTCAGATACATGCCTGAACTTTTGGATGCTTAACCGAAATAAACCTTTCCAAGGTTCATTTACCTATTGCTAGTTGTTTGGACAAGCTCGCAGAAAACACATATCACAAGGCGGTGGTGAAGACTTCAAGCTACTTGCTGCAGACTTGATTAAAATCTGCCTCACCAATTTTATGACTTGCTGCAAAAAATGTCAGCAAAACACTCAAAAATATTAGAGCCCCTGCTCCGAGTCCTTCGTTATGCACCAGTAATAATGGGCTCACAGACATACAGAGCCCCTGTTCCTTATGTGGGCGCCGCACAGTCCTTGTCACAAGTGTTGTGTCTTGATTGTACAGTGACTGAAGAGCTATCTTTCAGTGTACTATGTCCTTTAGCATACCGCAGGCTAGAAGAGTCAGATTCCAAGCTCAGTGATTCTGGAGTCTATCAGGTGTCACTCTAGTGACATCAGAGTTACTCCGGATTTACAGTGATGTAACTAACTGCAATGAAAAACTGGCTGACATTATTTTGCGTGTAACACTACCTACACAATACTCCATTATTCAAATGTTTAGGGTGCAAAATCAAGCACTCAAAAGTTAGGTAATGCCAGAAGTAAGGTTTGTGTAACCTTAAGTCACACACACACACACACCCTGTCCCTGTGTGTGTTCATTATGATACAGTCTTTAAATACATGAGTACGTGCTATTTTTTGCCACAGGACCCTGCCTCATTCAGTGTACCTTTACTATGCATTCAGTTCCCCATTACTCACATATAGGCAGAGTGGCTGAGGTGGATGAGCCCTTCCATATGAGCTGGATGGCCTGATTTGCATGCAGAGGTCTGATTTTCAAAAGCGCGCAGCACTGGCTTGATCCAACTCCCATCAAAGTCAAGGGATATTTCACTGTTGGCTTCAGTGGGGGCAGAGAGAGGCCAATACAGGGGCCTTTTTGAAAATCCCAGCTTAGATTGATTGCCCTAAAAGTTGGCACCATGGCCACTCCAGAGGAGAATCCATCACTGAGATTGTGAATGTTCTCCTATAGTCCAGGCTGAATTCAAGAGGAGCTGAGTGGGGGTGGAACGGATTTGAAATTCAGAAGAGTTATGAGCTAGTGATCTCATTTGCTAACGCTTCTGGCCATCTGCAACAGAAAACCTTTCAGCGCAGGCATAATGTCCTCTACCTTACTCCAGCAACTATCTGTCACTTGTGTCTTAGTTCCAGAGAAAATTTTCATTTAGAGAGAGATTCCCCTGATAGAAGCCGGTGCCAGAAAGTGAAAGATTGTGTGTTGCTCAAAAATGGGCTGTTTTTTTACAGAAGAGAATGAAGAGAAACAGCCGCTGACGAGCAAAGAGGAGGAAGAGCGCCGCATTGCAGAAATGGGACGCCCAGTACTGGGAGAACATACCAAACTAGAAGTCATTATTGAAGAATCCTATGAGTTCAAGGTACAGCAATTGTCTGCGTCACTCCACCCAGGGCATGGAAGCCCTGAATTCACATTAGCATCTCTAATTGCATTTTATTAGATTGCTAAACTAAGGGCTCCATCTTTTTTACATGCCCAGTCAGCACACATCTGGCAAGCACATGCTGTGCACAGGAAGGTATCATCCTTGCGAAGCAAGTATATTGAGCGCTTGAGGCCTTGATTCAGCCAAAGCATTGACACACATGCTTAAATCCATCCCTGTTCAGCAAAGAACTCAAGCACATGCCAGTGACTTCAATGGGATTCAAGCTAATATGTAAAAACAATGAGGAGTACTTGTGGCACCTTATAGACTGACAAATTTATTTGGGCATAAGCTTTCGTGGGCTAAAACCCACTTCATCAGATGCACGGAGTGGAAAATACAGTAGGAAGTTTTCATGTACTGCTATATATATTTTCCTACTGTATTTTCCACTCCGTGCATCTGATGAAGTGGGTTTAGCCCACGAAAGCTTATGCCCAAATAAATTTGTCAGTCTATAAGGTGCCACATGTACTCCTCGTTGTTTTTGCTGATACAGACTAACATGGCTACCACTCTGAAGCTAATACGTAAGTGCTTTGCTGAATTGTGGCAGACTACTTAATTGGCACCATAAAGAGGTATGTTGGGATGGGGATGATTGGAACAGAAGGAGTTGGGAGCCCAGTTTTCATATGGTAGAGATGTAATCAGAGACAATGCTCTTCAGAAAAATTCATCAGGGGCAGGATGTGTTCATGTTCTGCTGAATTTACAGCCTTTATGCTTCAAAATCAAATCCACTAATGGCCTTTATGTCCTCCGTGGGAGAGGCCCCATAAGAGCATCTCAAGGCATCATCAGGAGCTTCTGGAGCAAAAGCGAGAGTTTCTGCCCCCAGCTCCCAAAGGGAGCACAAGTAGCTGAATAAGGCACAGCTGTGGTATATACTGTCCCCTCTCAACAGCTAGCTGTGATGTCACGGCAACAGCAAGACCGTGGACTTGGCAACAGCAATGGTGTGGGTTTATTTCTAGCATTTCACTAGGCTTGGGCAGCAAAACTAGCCTGCTCAGTGTCACCGTCAGGACCAGGTCCTTGGGTGCTATAAATCACTGAAGCTCCATTGAAGTCAAAGGGAGTACTTGTGTGCTTCGTTGCTCAGCTGGACTGGAGGGGCTGAGAGCTCCGCACCCCACACAGGTTTGAGCATGTGAGGCACTAGCACAAGGCTGTTGCATGTTGGTCGCCAGCACCGTAAGAATTTATTATCATTGACCTTCCTTGAAAATATTGTCATACAAGCTGAATTTGGGGTTTGAATAACTGCCTGGTGTCTCTTTCACAGACTTATACAGACAGCTCCCAGATCCGCATCATTCGTGTTTACCAAAAGAAATAACCACAAGTGCTGTTCTTGCTATGATACATGATAGAACTTTCTGTGCATCAGCTAAGTTAGTCGAATGTTGATTTGTCCAGTTGTTGCTACAGTTGCCTGTAACTTAACTGTTTAGAAAACCCGGGAGTGTTAATTGTGTCAGACAGTGTTTGTTTGAGAAGCATCTCGAAAGTTGTAAAGCAGGAAATCCAGTAGCAGTAAAATAGATGGAGATACAGCGCAGGAGAGATTTCCAGAGTACATGTGCTAATGAAAACTGGCATGAAAAAATTACAGCACACCAGCAATGATCAGTTAATCACAAGTGGCAAAGTAGCCTTGATTCTCCCAGGGTTCTGGGAGCAACAGCAAAGGAAGTAAGGAATGCAGCTCCATAATTTCTCTATAGATACTTATTACAGAACAGAACAATATGGCAAGCCAAATCCTTAGCTGGGTTTAAAATGCCCAAACTAAAATAAAATACTGTTTAAGAAAAGAGACTGTGGCCGCAGTCCTGCATACATTCATGCACATGAATCCTGATGCTGTATACACTACACACATGCTTAGCTTTGTGCATGTGAGTGGTCTCATTTATCTGAATGTGTAAAATTAAGCCTGTGCAGGATCGTGGCCTAAGCCTGACAATTTAATCCCCTTTTTTAAAGGTAATAAAAAATAAACCAGCCACACTGTTTCATGTAAGCAGTAGAGTCTCTCCTACGTGCATTCTAGCGCTCTCGGCTGCCCATTGTGACCGCTTGTGACAGAGCTGACAGCTAGAAGAGTGTGGCGGAAGACGGAATGTTAGGCGGAATGTGCAGGCCCCTTTCCCGATGAACTGAAAAGAGGTTACCAAAGGTTAATTAGACACACCTGAGTCAATTAAGCACCTTCCACACACACACCTTTAAAAACCCTGTTCTGGTGTGAGAGTGGGAGGAGAGAGAGAGGGAAGAAGGAAAGAAAAGTTTCAGCAGGGAGAAAAAGTGTGGCCTAGGTGAAGAGCTGGTTACCTCCCTACAGGGAAAGCAGTGAGTTTGCATCTGTTCAGGGAAGGACTAGTGACCAGATGTCATCACAGTAAGTCAATGCTCTGCTAGGGGCAAGGAGATGTATTTCTTCTGTGTTTTTGCTTAAGGAAACTATTCAGGCCTAGCCTGAGACCCACCGGTAAATCCTGTAAATAAACCAAAGTCCAGAATGTAACCCCTCTGGAGTGGGAGTGATTTCCTCCAGCCCCTCTTATTGCCCCCCTGCACCCCCAAGGGAGAAATCCTGATGTGGTGGGAGAGGTGCCTTGCCACACCCTGTTACATTAGAACACAGTGAAGAGTGCTTGGATTAACTTCCAATGAGAATTTTCTGCCAGCCATTTACAGCATTAATGATGATTCTGCATTAGTGACTGAAGTTTCTGATTTAGCAAGCATATAAATGCTGTAAAAAAGCAGGAGTGGATACCCAAAAATATACTTCATTCACTTTGAATTATTTACAGTGCTTCCAAATATACAGATCACAATTCCTTGATCTGTTTTGTAACAAAAGAAGCATTAGCAAGACAGGAGTCCTCTCTACAGCATCTGCCATTAAACTTCTGCTGAAGAGTGTGGAGAGACTGCTGATTTTTAGTTCTGATTAGAAGGTATGCAGATTAGCAAACAGACCTTTTTAATGCAATATGGGATTTTGTGTGCATACGTATTGTCACTTCTGCTGCTCATGCTCTTGTTCTGAGTGGAATATCTTATCCATAACTGTACAATGTAAATCCACAAGGCTTTTGATTTCTGCCCATGATCTCAGGTTCTGAGCCAGCATTGCCCTTAATTCATTTATACTTGTCTCCATCTGCAGAATACTGTGGACAAGCTCATTAAGAAGACAAACCTAGCCCTTGTGGTTGGAACTAACAGTTGGAGAGAACAGTTTATTGAAGCTATCACCGTCAGCGCTGGTAAGTTCCTGTTTCTACATGGAATGAATTATGATAAGCCACTTTTTTGTCTCAGTTGTACTGTGTCTGTGGCAGCAGATTACTGCTGAAGCAAAACAGATAACAAAGTTATTCACAGTATCTGCGTACATATGTCAGGACACTTGTGACACAGACAGCCCTCTGAGCCACAAGTCTTACCTGCCCCCTCTTGTGCCACAGCAGGGATAGAGGTGGTAATTTGCTGTTGGCCTATAACTGCAGTAAATTATTGGCCCCCTCCAATCCAACACTGACTCTGCTGTTCAGGCCACAAGTGAACGCTAGAGTCAAGGCTCCATTCAGTTCCATCCCCCTGTGTATCTGTCTCCCCCCGCCCGACCCCAACCTGCTCTGGTGGGTGCACAGTGGCCTCTTACTGCTCCATGTGCAGACCTGGGTCTGGGTAGTGCACACAGAGGTGTAAGGGGTAGGGGATACCTACGTCCCTTTACTCTCTTGCCTGGGGACGCAGACCAAGTCACAGTCTCGCCCTATGAATGGGCTTGGGATCATGGTTTGTGGGTCTGTTTCTGATCAGCTGTGGCTGACAGGATGGGGCAGCTTGGTCCTGCTGTGGACTGAGCCTCCTCCTCCCCCCCCCATGTTCTCATGCACTGTGCTGGAGTCTCCTGTGTGCATCATGACAATTGCTATAGGCCACGTTCCTGCAATTCCAGACATGACATAGCTCCACAATCAGCTGACCATGGAATTAAGAGGGTGATAAATCATAACACAGTGCGTTATCTTCTGTCGCTTTCCAATGTCCCTTCCAAGAGTAGCCAAGCACAAAGACAAAATGAATGTCAGAAACTTTTCCAGGCAGGCATTCAGAGTAAATAATGATCTCCATCCTTGTTAGCAGTCTGCCTGGTGCATTGGACTTTGCACCTTCATGGACTCCTCTGAGAGGAACAGCTTCATTAATTTTAACTAGACTACATTTGGAGACATTACATAACGGGTTGATTAAACAAAAAGGCATGTTTCATTTGTGAGGAGCAGATCTCACCTCTGTCTGCTCAGTGCTTAGAAATCATTTGGTATTGCTGGTGTGTGCACATCACATGTCCCTTCTTCAGGTCTACATAGCATAGTTTCCTTCCTCCACAAAACGGCAAAGCAATGAGACATTTGAAGGAAGACATTGCGCTAGCTTCCTCCTCCTTAAATTAGGTCTGCACTATGTGCTGCTGCGTTGACAGGCTGCCAATAAGGCTACTGACAGTCAGATGTTCTGTTTACTCCCTTGTGGATTTTGTCAATTAAAGATTAGAACATGAAAGGCATATATCTCAGTGCTGTCATTCACTGTGCCTAAGTTGAAGATACTATGCAACCGACTTTATTCACTACACCTGAGAGGATTTTCCTTTGCAGTCTGCAGCTGATCTTTCTTTTCACACGGCTTTGGTTTTGTGGATAGCTTAGCTGTGACCCAAGATATAGCTCTTCCCCATCCATCTAGCAAGCCTGATGTTGATTGCCTTCCCTATGTCCCTGGAAGTTATGTGGTTAAATCTGACAAAGGATATGAATAATTTCCTTAAAGAATTCCTTATTTCACCTTGCACTGAAATACCATGACAGTTCTAACAGTTTGCACTGAAAGGTCTCTTACTTGATAAAATGGAAAATAGAAAAAGGAACCCCAGAGAGGAAGGATGGTCCAAGGGTTGGGTACTTGCTGGAGACATGCAAGAATGGAGTTCAGTTCCCCACTGTGCCAGGGACCTCTTCTGCAATCTTGAACAAGTCGCTTAGGAGGCAGAGAGGTGTCCAGTTCCCCACTGAAAGTCAATGGGAGTTGGGTGCCTCAATTCCCCCTCCAATAAAATGGGGATAAGAGCGCTCCCTACTGCCCAGGGGTGTAGAAAAAATCAATACATGCAGAATTGTGAGGTGCTCAGATACTACGGTAATGAGGCTATGGATAACTCGGTATCTTAGAAAATAATTTTGACTTAGTCATCCTTATCTGAAACCTAATTATTGTCATTGGTCTCGAACATCTCCTGCCACAAGAATGGCAGCCGCCCAATGGTGCGCTGGCTGTGTAATGTGCTGCAATACCGGATAGCTGGCTATGGAATCAGTGACATTTTGGAACGGCCTGTTCCTTACCACATAGGGGACCAAAGGGAGTATCCGCTCCCTAGCTCAGTGAGCATCCATTGAACAGGCTTGGGAGCGTCCCTGCCAGGACCGGCCCTAGGCACCAGCAAAGCAGGCCCGTGCTGGGGGGCGGCACGGTTCCAGGGGCGGCGTGTGGCCACCCCCCCCCTTTTTTTTTTTTTTTTTTTTTTTTGCTTGGGCACTTGCACTCTCGGAGCTTAGGGCAGCACATTTTTTTTCTTGGGGCAGCAAAAAATCTGGTCGCCGCCCACGCTCCTGATAGATTTAATGGCAGTGCTGAGAGTGGGAGAGAGGTGGTAAAAGAGAGAGAACAAAACACAGTCAAGGTGGAGAGCTAAGTCTATCTTGGGTGCCTCTGTGGCCTACGATGAGGTTACATACCCCACAGTAGAAAGGGCTGGGTAAAAAGCTACTCTGGGCCCAGGTGCCCCTCCTCCTCGTCCCACCAGCAATGCATGCACTGGCTGGAGGAGGTGCTTAAAAAGGGGAGCAGAGTAGCTCAGTGGGAGGCCGATGTGGAAGTGAGCTAACCTGCATGATAAGCTCCTGGGAAGGGTACCCTGGGAGCTCTTGCAGCCTGCCCAGCCTCCAGAGATGGGACCTGGGACTCTCTGAAGGTCAGAGACTTTATTTGGGTGTTTAGTTCTTTACTTTACTCTGTGGGGAGAGAGGGGACTTGTAGGGAGTGATGCAGGGAGGCAACCACCTAGTACCCCAGGGTGCAGGATTTAGCTGCCTTCTGATGGGCCCTGGATTGGAGCCCAGTGGAGTGGGACCCTGGGGTCTCTTTCCCACCCCTAAAGAGGGACAACCACAGAACTCTGTTCCTTGTTGGGGAAGATACAATGCTCTGGAGCACGAGACCCAGACCCCAGGGGAAGCCCTGACTCCCTCACTTAATCCTAAGGACTTGCCCATTACTGGCCTCTTTAGACATACCCCGGAAGGGGTGGGCTTGACCTGGCCAGTGACCTGGCCAGAGGGCTGAGTCACTGGAAGGCCAGACCACTGCAGGGCAGAATGACAGTAAGACAGGGGAATACCTGGGCAGAAGGCAACCTGCCACAGCCCTGCCCGACCACTCTTGGCAGCGCAGGTTGTTAGCATTCCCCTTCACAGGTCCCCGTCACCACAGAGTCTGAGAACCTCACGTCTCTAATGTATCTACCCTCCCCTCACCCCTGTGCTGTTATCCCCATTGTACAGATGGGAAACTGAGGCACAGAGAGACTAAGTGATTTGCCCAAGTTCACACAGGAAGTCTGTGGCACTGCAGGGAAGTGACCCCAGGTCTCCCAAGTCCCATGCTGGCACCTAACTGCAGAGCCACTGTTGTCACTGTGCAGAATAGTGATGAGTCAGAAGTTCAGTGTGGGGCCATGCAGTGCTGAGAGCTGACTGCCGGGGCATCATGCTCCCAAACAAACCACAGAAAGCACTGAGCACTGACTCCATGGAAGGATCAAGCCTCTCGCATTCGGTCTCAGAAAATGCTGTAAAGAAAACCCTGGCTAGGTGGATTCCTGGGACTCAGCAGAGGCAGGCCAGGGAGTGAATGAGAGACGAGCTCTTGATGTGCCTGCTGCGGATAACTGTGATACCAGGGCAAGATGTGTGCAGCTGGGAGGCCTCAGCTGAGAAGCTGGGACTGGCAGCCTGCTGCGCTGGTGAGCTGTTGTGCATTGCTGGTGGAGCTGGGCCATCTGGGAGAACCAGGGGAGCGGCACGAACCCCTAGCCTGCTTTGCCAGTGTCGCTGCACCCAGAGGAGACAACTTGGAAGAAATTGTAGTGCTACCTATGTACTGAGTCTGCTGTGGGCAGCTGTCTTGTCTAGGGGTGTGTGCCTGGGTGGAAGATGAGAGCCTTGTTTTAAAGTCTCCTTGTCATTTGAGCAACAGGACCCAGCTCAAGTATCGGAGGGGTAGCCGTGTTAGTCTGGATCTGTAAAAGCAGCAAAGAGTCCTGTGGCACCTTATAGACTAAAAGAGCATAAGCTTTCCTGGGTGAATACCCACTTTGTCGGATGCATGTAGTGGAAATTTCCAGAGGCAGGTATAAATATGCAAGCAAGAATCAGGCTAGGGATAATGAGGTAAGTTGAATCAGGGAGGATGAGGCCCTCTTCTAGCAGTTGAGGTGTCAGCTCCTAATTGGATTCCAGGCCCAAGTGAGATCCCCTGTTATTTGTCTCCACTGTTTCTTCCCAAACACTACCTTGTATTGCTATTATAATATAAATAAAGCCCTGAGTGACAGCAGGAATGCAGAGGAGATGTGGTGCTTTCTAGTTAGTGTCTGTAAGAAGAAAGCTCCTTCAATCCGAAAAGTCAAATGTGACAAGCCTAGGTGAGCTCCTGTACCCACAGCACACTCAGCCATGCAAAGCTTGATTCACAACACAGCGTATTCCACCAAGCAGCCACGACAGCGTGGGGACGTTGCTAAGAGAAATCAGAACTGACAGCATGGCCTGAGGCAGCATGGCCCTGTGGCCTAGAACACGAGCCTAGCGTGCAAGTCCTGCCTCTGGCCTGCTTTGGGAAGGTTCTGTCACCCTGGTTTCCTTTCTCACCCTTTGTCTATTAAGTCTCTGACCCAAAGCGCTTGCAACCTCTTTCTTACTCTGTGCCTACATAATAGATCCCCAACCAAGTTTGGGGAACTTCTGTACTGCAAAATATTATTGATAATAAAATATGTGACTGCTGGGATCAATGAGAGGGGGAATTCCTCTTAAATCAGAGAGTGAGTTATGACAGGATATTGTCGTTTGTATAGCTATAGTGCCTAGGAGCCCAGAACCGCACTGTGCTAGGCACTCTATAAACACAGCACATGAAG